TGTACAATGTCAAAGGTGCAAATTCTTGAATGTAGTCAAATGTGGGAATCTGACACGTTAGCCTGCAGTTGGTATATCTCCAATCTGTAGTTTCTTACCCTGACATCTTTCATCACACTCATTAAGGAAGAGAAGGAGAGTACATGTGGTCACCAGATTCTTTTTTGTTTCTGAAAGAAAGCCGCATCCTTTCATTAGCCCTTACCATCTTATTGCTCCAATTATTACTGAAACTTTGAAAAGATTCTTACTTGACATAGGCTTTTTAATCAAGAATAAACAAGACCACACACCCTCCTGAATGGTACATTAAAAACATATGTCTATTATGATAAATACCCTCACGGGAGGGGGAGGGGAGACACACACAAAAAAATGCTTAATGAAAACTCAAAAGCCAAAGTAAGTGATGAAACCAGACTCACCTGTAGACCATTTTTCACTTTTTCTAAAGTTGGCCCTCTTCAGTCCATCAAACCCTTAATGTGCTGATTGTGTGTGCATTCTGTCAGTATCTCAGTCTGGTCTAGAAGGTTCAGGGAATGGGTTCTGACCTCAACTTTGCCACACCCCAAGAGCTGGCAGGATGTGGAGGCATAAATCCTCACAGAGAGGATTTTTGCAGGCATGAGGATTAGTAAGTGCCCCAAGCACAGTCCACATGCAATAAATATTTGTTAAGATATATTGAATGAAAAGAAGTAGGTAAAACATAAACAAGAACAGGGAGCTAAGAATAGAGCCTTCAAAGATGTCCTCGGCTTTGAAAATAAGTCAACCAAAGAGACCGAGAAACAATTGCAAAAAAAGGAAGAAGGGAAAGATGAAGGCATGGTGTCAAGAAAGTCAAAATTAAGGAATATTTAAAAGACATGGTCATAGTGTCAAATGAAAAGAAGCAATATAAGAAAATGTGATTATATCTGTTGGTGGGAAATGTGATTCAAAATGTTCTCTGAAAGGAATATGATCTTTATAAATCTTCTGAAAATTATTGCTGGAACTTAAAAGCTGAAGCAATTTATAGTAACAACAACCAACAAAAACTATGAAAATAAAGTTAAAGCCAATTTCAAAACACTTAAAGTTGTTGAGTAAGGGACAACAGAAAATAAAGGGAAAAAATCCCTCTAATGGGGAAAAACGTCATTTGGGCTTTGATAAGCATAATGACATCATATTGCTGCATAACATTTATTCTTTTTCTTCTGCTCTCTCAGAAGAAAATAACCCAGCATTTTCCCAAAGTGCAGGGACACGAAGACCTTCCCTATGAATATTTAGAAGTTGTTTTATAAAATACTAGGAGTTAACCTGGGATTCTTGGGTGTTGGGCCTCAGAAGGTCTGTGACCCCTTTACACTGCATTCCACTCCTGTTATTCATGTGTCGAAGAGGATCCATGGCTTCCATCAGATTCTCAAAGAACTTGTTACCCTATAAAAGTTAAGAACCACTGTTCTAGAGAAAGTAATACATTTGGCCACTGGAGGAAAAGGTTTAAAAACGCTTTTGATGGCAAGTCAGGCTGACATCTGCACATTCTTATTCATCCTTACCATTTTTCCTTCCACTCCATGGAAGTATTGCTCTCCTCTTGGGCTTTCTCTATGCTTTAAATCTCACCTCCCCCCTGTTTCTTTTCAGTCTCCTTTGCCCCATAAATATTGCAGTTCCCAGGACTCCATGATTACTCCCTTTTTCTTCTTACTTTATATATTCTAGCTAGCTAGCTGAGCTGTATTCTGTCTGTCTCTTACAAATTTCTTCAGGATGGTTATAAAATCTGGAAACATAGGTGAATACATAATAAATGATTTATTGATACTATACTAAATCACATGATAAAATATTATCAATGTTTTCAGAATTTATGATCATCTTATATATACATTTGTAGTTTCGAAATTAATTTCAAGCCAAAAAGTCTTTCTTGAGCTGCATGTGATTTTCAGACTGTGGACTGTCTACGGAACATCTCTACTTGGCACCCCCAGACGCTTCTCACATGACTCGTCCAATATCACCTCCTCTTGCATTCTCATTCCTCTTGCATTCTCCATCATAGGGAATGGTTTCCCCATTTTTAAACCACTCCTAAAACACAAGTCTGGGAGTTTCTCTCTGCAGCATCCAGATTTTTTGAGAAGCTCCCTCCTTTCACCAGTTCTCTTTTCAACTGACCACCAATCCTGTCTATTTTGCTTCATAAACACTTCAAAAATCTTCCCACCCCAGCCCATCTCCATTGATATTGTCTTAATTCAAGTACTTATCATTTCTTACCTAAACTCTTATAATAGAGCAGGTCTTCTTACCGCCTATTTAAGCTCCTTCCAAATAATATCTCTTAACAAGAATCTTCCTAAAATGCAAATCCAATTATGGTGATCTACTACCTCAAATTCTTCCATAGCTCTAATTGCTGAATAATAAAGCCCAGAGTCCTTGGCCTGGCATACAAGGCCTTCATTTTCTACCTTCTCACCTTCATCTATTTGATGCTATAGCCACACCCACTAATATGATTTTCTTCAAACATGCCTTGACACTATTGCTTGGATTTCCACCATTGATGAGCTTCTATTAATCCTTCAAGGCTTAGCCCCCAAATCCCTGGTATTATCCCTTTACCAGTGGGGCTGGGACTCTCAGTGGTTATCAGGACTGGGAACCAGACACAGGGAAACAGGGTAAATTTTGTTTCAATATCCAGGTTAAGGGGAGCTTGGTGTCAGGGACATAGCTAAACTGAGAGCAAAGCCAAATGCAGAATAGTAGCAGCAATGATTTAAGGTTAAGCCATGGAGTATTAAGCTACAGCCCCTGAAAGTCCCACCAAGGACTTGATCCAGAGTTTGAGGTAGAGCAGGATGAGACTGAGATGTCATCTTAGCATAAGGAGGAGTGTTGTGGCCAGGGAGTCAGGAAGTTGGGCAGCCCCTGACAATGTCTGTGAGATAATGAATTCAGGAAACTTCAATATACTCATGAGTGAACGCCCAATTTTACTTTTTAAAAAGATTCTTTTCTGTTGGCACTTTTTCTAATAAAAACAGTCAATTTTACTAAAACACACACACACACACATACACATAGTTTTGAGACTAAATTAAAGTTTTTAAATGACACTTAAATGCAGCTTCCATCTTTTATAGACGAAGAAATTGAGGACTACAGAAGTTAAACAAAATTTCAAATACCATACCTCTAGTTGGTGGCAGCCAATTGATGACATAATAGAAAACTAAGTTTGAAAAAAAGTCACACATTCAGTCTACAACAGAAAATCAATGATCATAAAACCCACAGAGGAGTATAAAAATATTAAACAAAGACATATCTGAATAGGTACATATATCTGTTCAGATCAAAGTCAACATTTTTAGCTTTATACATTTAAAAAAATCTTAAAAACAATGTGACCAGCAGTTCCATCTTCATAAAACTAAAAATTATTTGAGCTGAGCAGAACAGTGAGGGTGCCGTCTAGAAAATAAAAGCCATTCAGTATCTTTGAAAGAAAATTAAACTGGAACAGAGAATTGGTTACATAGATAATGGAAAATCTGAGAATCCAAACAAAGAATGGTGAGACTTCTCTAAGATGAGCAAAAGCAGGAAGGCACCACCACTCCTTGCGCCAGAGGGCCAACTGGAGAAGGTGGTATTCTAAGAGCACATCTAGTAGAAACTGGGTCGAGAGAGAAAAAAACCTGCCCAGTGGGTCCTAAAATTCCAGAGGAGATTCAGTTACTATCTCCAAAAAAACACAAAAGACTTTCTTTTAGGGAAAGGGAAAGTAGAGTTAAATTAGGAAGTGATTCTTCCCGAACTCCACCCCATCTCTCTCTTTCCGATTTTTGCTTGCAATCTGATTCATCATCCTCACCCCCAGAGGCAGCTCTGAAAGAAGAGAAATTTTCCAAAGGAAGGAAGCAGTCCAACTTTGCTGATCTGAGCCAACTGCCCATTTCCTTTGGGGTTAGGAATAACGGCATGAGGAGTGAGCCATCACAAGACAAAGGGACCCAGAGAAGCATGCTTCCTGAGCATGATGAAAACACCAAGGTTACAGATGATGACTAACTGCAGTCAAATCACCTTCCAAGTTCTACTTTGCTTAATTAATCCTTTCTTCACTCTCTGACATATAGTGGACTCTTAAAGGAACATTGTAAACTCACACAGTCAATTGCCTTCTTTAAGCCAGCAATAGCATCTTCCAGAAAGACAGGAAACAGAGAAGTCGACTCTGCTCCACCAGTGAGATGTTTCTGGAAACCCACCATTTTTCATATATATTCCTTGAGAGCTGGGAATAATACCAGAGAGGGCCTCTAGCCTCGAGTTAATCATTTGGGGGAAATATGCAACAAGGTGTCATTGATCCTCGCTCTCAAGGTCACCCTGACATGTGGAGGCTCTCCAGAATCCCAGAACCCGATTCATTCCAGCACATTGCTTTGTTATGGTGTCAGCTGTCAGTGAGCCAGGTGATAGAAGTCAAGCCACCCTCTGAGCCAGACAAGCCTGAGGACACAGATGTTGGAATTTAAATGCGTTCCTTCTTCCTTCCAATGCATACTCCCACCTGGATATCCAGGACACCCTTAACACATCCCTTTTACCTCATTTATTCATTTTTTCCATTCATCAATTCCTTTAATAAACATTTATTGATGACTTACTATGTGTCAAGCACTGGGGACAGAGCAGAGAACAAAACAAGCAAAAAATCCCTGTCCTCATGGGACAATAAACAAGTAAAATATATAGTTTGTCCAATGATCAGACGGAATTATAGAAAAAATAATAATAAAATGGAAAAAGGCCATATGTCTTCTTAGGGCAGGAGCACTAAATTTTATTGAAAGGTGTCCAGAACTAGGCACCCTGCGTCTCGTCTGCTACGAAAGCCTCGCGATGTTTGGGGAAAGCCTCGCGATGCTTGGGGCAGCGTGCTTTCTGAGCCAGGCGCTGAGGCCCGGGGGCTGGGGATGGCATCCAGAGCGGCTCGCTGGCTGGGGGCTCTTCGGAGGGGACTGAGCTTGAAGAAAGATGGAGCGATCTCAGTCGGACGGGGTGGCTCAGGTCAGAGCCTGGTACCGTCGAGGTCAGGCACCCATACTCGCACCGGCGCCATTTTGCCCAAACCGGTGAGAACGCCCTTCGGCCTCCTCCGTGTGTTCTCCATTGTGATCCCCTTTCTCTTTGTGGGGATGCTCATCAGCAAGAACTTCGCTGCTCTACTTGAGCAGCATGACATTTTTGCCCCAGAGGACGATGATGATGACTAACAGGTCACGAAGTTCAGAAAAGAGAAAGCCCTAGCCGAATCAAATAAATGGTGATGCTAGCCCTGTGTCCCAGACTCTGGGAGGTTCCCCGAGATGCGCAACTCACTGAGAATAAACATGACAAATATAAAAATAAAAATAAAAGAAAGAAAAAGAAAGGTGTCCAAGAAAGATGACCTTTGAAGCAAAGGTCTGAAGCAAGAGTGAGGAAAGAGCATTCCAGTCATAGTAGCAAGTATTATACAAAGGTCCTGGGGCTGGACCACTCGTGATGACATGATGCAGGACCAGCAAAAGCCCATGTGTTAGAGTGAGTGAGTATAGGGGATAAATTGTAAGGATAGGAAATGAGCTCAGAGATGTGAGAGAGAGAAGATTTTGTAGTGCTCTGTGGGTTTTAAGAACTCGGACTCTTACTCTGAGTTAGATGGAGAAGCGAGTGGAGTAGAAGAGTGATATGATCTGACTTACTTTTAAAAAAGGATCTCCCTGTCCATTGGATGTAGATTAAAATGTAGAGAGAATGCCGAAACCGGTTTGGCTCCGTGGATAGAACGTCAGACTGCGGACTGAAGGGTCCTAGGTTCGATTCCGGTCAAGGGCAGGTATCTTGGTTGCAGGCACATCCCTAGTAGGGAGTGTGCTGGAGGCAGCTGATCAATGTTTCTCTCTCAACGATGTTTCTAACTTTCTACCCCTCTCCCCCTTTCTGTAAAAAATCAATAAAATGTATTTTTTTAATTAAATAAAATGTAGGAAGCATAGGGCAAAAGCAAGGAAGCCAACAGCAGTAATCCTGGGGAGAGATAACAGTGGAAGTGGTGGTAGTAGGATTCCGAATATCATCTAGATATATTTTTAAGATCCTCCAAGGTATGGATTTGGAGCCACTCATCCTCTTTCCTTGAGTCTTTGGGATAAATCTATAGTTTCCATTAATCTAGGATACAGAAACCTGGGGGAGTAGTAAAGAGCTCAGTTACCAAAGCTCAGGTTAGTCATTGATTTAAAGAATCTGTGAGTGGGGAATAAGTATAACAAAAGTCAATGGTCCCAAGAGAGTCACTGCAGCTGACTATACATTTCTATTCACGTATGTACTGCTTGTTACAGCAACCACTACATATATAAGGATTGAAATCTAAGTGGATGATAAATATCAACATAAGATAAACTAACTGAGGGAAATGGAGCTAAGTTAAGGCTGCATAAATCTAGTGTTTAGTACCGCTGAAAGACAAAATGATCAGAAACTTCCACCTGAGGATTCAGAGAGAGAAAATGGCTAGATTTGCTGAAAGGCTCAGTAAATGTTTGGAGAACTGAATCCCTATAGAACTTTGTGTATACCCCGGCTGGGTAGCTCAGTAGATTAGACCATTATCCAAATACATTAAGGTTTCATGTTAAATCACCGGGGTCAGGTCACATACAAAAATCAACCATTAAATGCATAAATCCATTAAATGCATAAATAAATGGAACAACAAATCGATGTTTCCCCCCCCCCCCCTCTCTCTCTCTCTCTCTCTCTTTCTCTCTCCCCTTCCATCCCCCTCCTCCCTCCCTCCTTTCTTTCCTCTCTCTCTAATATCAATAAATAAAAATTAAAAAAAAAAACTTTGTGTAAACCTTGGGATGAAGTTAAACTTGCAAATCACTTGGAAACTTGTTAGAAATGCAGAATCTCAGGCCAACTCCAGACCTGCTGGATCAGAATCAGCAATTTAATAAAGACTCCAAGTGATTTGTTTGTGCACTGAAGTTTGAGAAGCTCTATGTGGGCTTTTTTTTTTTGCTCTTAAAAGCATCACTGATGAAGTGGGTGAAAGGCAAGGAAATGGTGGCCAGCTCACCACCAAACTATGATAGAGAATTCACAGACAACCAAACTCTCTTCTTAGATTTCAACAAAAATCCAGGAAGCTCTTCAATTTGTTAGGCAAATGAAGACTGGTGAAGAAGAAATTTGAAAGGCAGGTATGAGCCCTAAATTAAATGCAGTCCCAGACTAGTTCCCACTAAAGGAATGGAAATTATAGTCAAAGAGCGACAAATCAATTTTGGTAACTGGAATTTCCAGATGCACGGAAAATATGAACTTTAGAGGACTTCACAAACATTCAGTTTCTGCAAAATCTTCAGTGGCTGTGAACTGCACTGGCTTGCATAGCACTGAATTCTTACCATATCCTATAGAGAACCTCAGCCTAAAAGGCCTAACCGAATGCACCAGGAGCAGAATGCAAGAACATTCTATTCTACGACAAACCAACATGTGTGCTCTCGCCGTCCTGAAAGTGCTTTCGGAAAGGCCCTCTTCTTTCTGTACCAGTGTTGAGCAAAGGCTGGGGGAAAGTCGTATCATTATCCCATATATTTTCTTCCTCTAACCACAATTACAGGGAGGCTTGTGGCATGTTACACAAACCTGTCATCGAGGTGGAAGCTGAAAAAATGTCAGTTACTCAATAGTAAGATAGGCCTGTGCAGCCACTCAAGCAAGGAAGGTGGGCCTCAAAGCAATTTAAGGCACATCTGCCTTCCATGCTAACTGCCATTAACACTGAAGAGTTTAGACACACATCCATGCTGATGACTTGCAAAAGGGCCAGAAAAACTATCCTTAAATCATTGAGTAGTATTAACTTCATGTCAGGTGCTGTGTTAATTGCATTCCATGCATCTTTATATTTGCTCTTCAAAGGTAGTGCTCTCAACGATTATGATTATCTGCATTATTTCTATGTTATTCCATTAATAACTATATTATTTACAGCATGAATATCTATATTATTTCTAGTAAGTATACAAACAATCCACTTGATTCCAAAGCCTTACGCTTCTTTACTAAAGGGTTAGACTTCCTATCAAATTCCCTCCAGCTGAGAAATTGCAGTCTGAGGATAGACTTCCTATCATCTGTGCAATCTCCCCACATTATAATCACAGTAGAATTTATGAGACAGCCTCATTTACCATCTACTTAAAGAAGACCTTCTTGCCTGGACAAATGCTTACTTGCAAAGGAACTAGATAGGAATACTTTTGTGTACCTATTAAGCATGAGAAATCACAGTAATTGAAGTGAAAAATTTAGACTGTTCATGCTGATTTGGCATTCACATGAGCTGTACCAAAAATGAGATAGAACCATGTGCCCTCCCAAAGCCAGTTGAATCTTTGGCTCCAACTGTTCCCATCACAAGGCAGGAATATGGGAGCATCAGCTTAGATTTGTAGGACACTGTGCCTGAGATGATGAAATGGTACCTAGGAAAGAATCAAGGTGGTCTGAGTACGCATAGAAATCACCAAAAGGTGTAGGCATTCAGCTTTCAGAAAATGTCTCCAATCCTGAAAGATAATTTCACCACAGTTACTACACCCTAGGGAAGGGCCAGGGTAGTCCACTGCCTTCCCTGGAGGTGGGTGGTTAGCAGCCAGCCCTAATCCAGGCTTCCAGGAACACACCAAGGGCAGTGGCAGATTTATATGTCAGCAGGAAGCCAGCTTGCCACCCAGACGCTGTTATTGGAACAGGATAAAACTTGGCGTCTGGCTGGTAGAGCTGCCAAGCACACCTTGCCAGTGACTGCAGGTGCTGGTTGCTGCTCCAGGCGCTCTAGAGAGTAAGAGAGTGCAAGAAAATATTACATGAACAGATCTTCAGCTTTGGGCAGTGATTACATCAATGTGGCTTGTCACTGTGTTGCTACCCCTGTTTCCGCAAAAATAAGACAATGTCTTACATTAATTTTTTCTCCCAAAGTTGTGCTAGGTCTTATTTTCAGGGGATGTCTTATCTTTCCATGTGCTAGATCTTATTTTCGGAGGATGTCTTATTTTCGGGGAAACACGGTATATAAAAGAACTGAAGTATGATATTGGGAGCTTATTTAACCATCGATGCCTAATCAGGGTTTGGGAAGGCCTTTCTCATAAGGGTTCTCAGTCAAAAGAACTTCATCACTGAGAACACATACACACACGCCAAATAAATATGCTTTAGAATCAGCAAAGCTTTCTGTGAATCTGAGAAAGTCATACATAAAAGATCACAGAGAGAAAGAGGAAGCATTAAACTATTATGGCACGAAAGGATGCTATCTTCAAACACCCAGATGAAACAGCTCCTCCCCCCAGCTGGGAATTTGCAGTCTGAGGTTGAGCAGTATGTGGCAGGAGAGGAGGTAGGGAGCGATGACAGAAGTCTAAATAGAGTACAGTGTGGGTTTTTGGATCCCCAGGATAAAGAAAGCTTACTGGAAAACTATTATTTCTTTAAAAAAGAACAGAAGGTTTTATAAGCAGAGGTTCCCATAGGAAGAAAAAGGGGACAGGGGGCACAGAATCTGTAATACTTCAATGATACATTTTTAAAAATAATAAAATTTAATTTAATTTAGAAAACACAAAGGCCATGTTTCATGCAAGAAAATGTCTGCTCATGAAAAAGGTAACTGTAGTAGTTGCTTCCAAGAAGTCAGAAAGGTTTCTGGCCTCCATTCTGCATGGAATCTCAGAGCAGCCTCAGCCTCTTTGAACAGGAGATTCTCCACTCACTCAGAGAAGCTGATAATGCCTCCAGCCCCAGCCTGCCAGGCCTTGGTGCCCGAGACTCTCCAGGCCATGATTAGCTGCCCTTCCCCAGAAAAATAAATACTAAGAAGGTGTTAGGAGGAAATATCATTACATTTAATTCTCCAGCATTCACAGAGCTGTAAATGTCTGGCACTGCACACCAACCAGCTGACCAACCAGAAAGTAGCCACAGATTAATTTAACCATTTCGCAGGTAATTATGAAGCACTAATCCATGTACAATATCGCTTCAAGAGCTGAAAAGGCTATCAGCCTCATATCCTCAATATGCTTACTACCCAGTAGGGAAGCTTAAGAAATATACACAAATCACTATGACTCTATAAGACTGTGAGAGGATTCATTGACTCCTTACTTTATAAAGACATTATTCTTCTAAAGTCAAGTTTGCCAGT